GGTCACACCTGGAGGCCACAATTGCCCTGAGTGGCCGCAGCTGGGACCTGCCCCCACACCCGCCTCTGCCCATTCCCCCCCGGGCAGTATAAAAGCTGAGCCTTGGGGGGCTTGGTCCTTGTTTCTGGAGTGCTGAGTGTGTAATGGCTTCTGGGATTTTTTTGTTTGTTTTCAGAAAGTTTTATTTTGGACACTGCCTTGTTGGCTTTTTGTTTGTATTTTTGCTTTTTTTTTTTTTTTTTTTAATTTGGTAGTTGGTATTTTTAATGCGAATTTATTTGTTTCTTAGGTAGTCTTTTATTGTGATATTTTCTTACTTATTTTGTTGTGTGTTTATTTTGTTATGGTGGTTATAACTTAAGTATTTTTATGTAATGTTTGAGTAGTTTGTTGTGGAGCTTTTTAGGCTTACTTTATTCTAGGTTATTGCAGAGTAGTGTTTTAAGTTTGGGCTGCTGCCTTTAGAATAGATATCAGTATTGTTTTTTCAGGTCTTTCCTTGCTTTAATTTTGGTCCTTATTTGTAATAGTTAATTAACCTACTTTTTTTTTCTTCTGCAAGAAATGTTGAAGTTACAGTATTTAACTTCAGCTTTGGAGTTCTTTAATTGGCAGTTCTATACTTTCAGCCACTGTTTTTAATTTGTCTTATTCCTTATTTCATGTTTTTCACTGTCTTTTCCTATTTAAAGAAGTATTGAATATGTATGGAAGAGAATTTCAGTCTGTGTCTTGAAGAAAAACTATGAACATGTCATCACTTTTGGACTAGCCTTTTATACTGTATGAAGTTTTGGCAGGCAGCTGGTAGAAAGTTCAGGTTTCAATGACTTTTTTCTACTGTCTTGATTGGTTGTTTTAACTAATGGATAATGCTGATGTACTAGTTGATATTAGAGTGTTTGTGGTCCACCCACGTGATGATGGAAGTAACTTCAAAAAAGGGAAGGAAAAAGGTTAGTGGTTTACAAAAATCAAGAATCTTACAAGATTGTTTATTTCAGTTTTAATTCAAGTTCAGTTATGTATTGTACTTTTATAAAATATGCTTTTCAATTGCATATGTTTTTCTCAGTATGTTTAGGTAACAGAGGGGTTACTTAACATGTTAACTTAATTACCATTTTATGTAATAAGAGATATTGCTTAGTATTTGTTTGAGTTGATGTATGGAAGGTAATGGACCAAAAACATCTACAGTAACATGAGAATTAGATGAGAAAAGCAGAGGTAGAACTATCCCTGAAACCTAGTGCTCATGGGGGAAAAAAATGAAGTTGTTAAGAAGTGTTACAGGAAAAAAAGGCATGACTTAAAACAGAAGTCCTTGGAGGATCACCTTCAGGTGCACTAGGTAGGCCAACATAACTAAAACATGCTGATGTCCTTATTGCTTCCTGAGGTCATTAGGAGAGTGTTAATGTCTTAATTACAGGAGTTAAATGAGCATGAGGTAAGAGTATATCTGGTTTAGCCCTAAAAGGAGTAAGAAGTGAACAGTTAGGAGGGGGTCATCAACAGAGCCAAGGGTTTTGAGCTGACTTGAAGCCATGTGTTGCTCCATAGAGATGATGTAGATCTACTGCTACTGCAGTGAGTAAACTATAGAGGCTAGGAATGGCAACTGCATTGGTGCTGTGCTTAAGCTAACTCTATGCTAGCTTTATTACTGAATCCCTTTCCTAAGGAAAGGGTGCTGTGTACTGTGAGTGAACTTCTTTGGGGTTTTCTAATATAAGGTGTTGGATTATACCACTGCTGCTTGATACCTTTCATTTAAAACTAGAGTGATACTCTAAACTAAGCTATCTGGATTAGTCCATCCACCTGGACTAGCCCAGCTGGTTTAGTCCAGGTGGACTCAAGTAAACCATCTAGATTAGCCTGGCAAGTTAGTTTAGAACCATTAAACTTTGTGATCTCTAACTCCCTCCAGAAACACTGTGGTTTTTTTCTTGGAAAATACTAGGCTGTCAGGGGTAGGGCCTTCCTAGCAGGTTTCTTAACTCAAAAGGGAATACTTCAAGACAGTCTTGGTTGGCNTGTAGTGCTGAGTGTGTAATGGCTACTGGGTTTTTTTTTGTTTGTTTTTAGAAAGTGTTATTTTGGACTTTCCTGGTGGCTTTTTGATTGTGTTGTTGGTTTTTTTTTTTTGTTTTTGTTTGGTAGTTTTTGATTTTAATGGAAATCTATTGTTTTTTTAGGGGGTCTTTTATTGTGGTAATTTTTTACTTGCATTGTTGTGTGTTTATTTTGTTGTTATGGTGGTTTTAGCATAAGTTGTTTATGTAATGTTTGAGTGGTTTGTTGTGGAGCTTCTTGGGCGTACTTTATTTTAGGTTATTGCAGAGTGGTGTTTTAAGTTTGGGCTGCTGCCTTTAGAATAGATAGCAGCATGTTTTTTTCAGGTATTTCCTTGCTTTGATTTTGGTCATTTTTGTTAATAAGTTATTAACCTACTTTTTTTCTTCTACAAGACATGTTTAAGTTACAGTATTTAAATTCAGCTTTGGAGTTCTCTAATTGGCAGTTCTATGTTTTCAGCCATTGTTTTTAGTTTGTCTTATTCCTAGGTTCATGTCTTGTACTGTCCTTTTTGATTTAAAGAAGTATTGAATATATATGGAAGAACTTTGGTGTGTATCTTAAAGGAAAACTATTAACGTGTCGCTACTTGTGTACTAGTGTTTTATACAGTATGAAGTTTTAGTAGGCAGCTGGTAAAATGTTCAGGTCTCAATGACTTTCTAGTATGGTCTTGATTGGTTGTTTTATCTATTGGATAATGCTGATCTACTAGTTGATATTTGAGTGTTTATGTGGTCTACCCATATAATGATGGAAGTAATTTCAAATAAGGTAAGGAAAAACATTAGTGGCTTAGAAAAATCAAGAATCTCACAGGATTCATCATTTAAGCTTTAATTCAAGTTGAGGTATCTACTGTACTTTTATAAAATACGGTTTTCACTTGCATATTTTGTCTTTAGTCTGTTTAGGCAACAGAGGAATTACTTAACATGTTACTTGAACTAGCATTTTGTGTAATGTGAGAAATGGCTTAGTATTTCTTCAAGTTAACGTATGGAAGGTAACGGACCAAAAACATCTACAGTAACATGAGAATCAGAGGAGAAAAGCAGAGGTAGAACTATCCCTGAAACCTAGTGCTCATGGAAAAAAATCAAGTTAAGAAGTGTTGCAGGAAAAAAAGGCATGACTTAAAACAGAAGTCCCTGCAGGATCATTTTCAGGTGCACTAGGTAAGTCAACATACCTAAAATATGTTCATGTCCTTATTGCTTYCTGAGGTCATTAGGAGAGTGTTAATGTCGTAATTATACCAGTTAAATGAGCATGAGGTAAGAGTATATCTGGTTTAGCCCTAAAGGGAGTAAGAAGTGAACAGTTGGGAAGGGATCATCAACAGAGCCAAGGGTTGTGAGCTGATTTGAAGCCATGTGTTGCTCCATAGAGATGGTGTAGATTGCCATAGTTACTGCAGTGAGTAAATTATAGAGGCTAGGAATGGCAACTGCCTTGGTGCTGTGCTTGAGCTAACTCTATGCTAACTCTATTACTGAATCCTTTTCCTAAAGAAAGGGTGCTGTGTACCATGAGTGAAMTTCTTYGGGRTTTTCTAATATAAGGTGTTGGATTATATCACTGCTGCTTGATACCTTTCATTTAAAACTAGAGTGATASTCTAAACTAAGCTATCTGGATTAGTCCATCCACCTGGACTAGCCTAGCTGGTTTAGTCTAGGTGGACTAAAGTAAACCATCTAGATTAGCCTGGCAAGTTAGTTTAGAACCATTAAACTTTGTGATCTCTAACTTTCTCCAGAAACACTTTGTTTTTTTTCTTGGAAAATACT